ATGATGTTGCTGTATTTGTAGCTATAAAAACAAGCAACATATTCTATGACTTCCATACATTTATTTTTCTTGAAAAATGGATTGTCAAGATGGCCTAGAATCGCTAGCACTTGTCAAACTGTAGAGTGGATATTCTCTGTGCTGAACTTAGTGGTAATATTTCGAAATGAAGCGCTTAGTTGTCCTTTGGTTCGGGTGTCAACCGATTGTTTGTGTTTAGATATATGGAATATATGTCAGTCCACTTCTAAAATTGTCTTTGATGAATCAATTTATGTTTATTTGGTTTGGTCAGGTTGGGCTCAATTGTGTATAATATTTATGGCTGATTTGCTTTATTCTATAAGTTCATAGTATCTCTCCGTTTTATTTGTAAGTCATTCAGAATAATTTTGTTCCACAATAATTCATAAACCCTTACGTAATTGCTCAAAATTCAGCTTTAATACTATATTTGGCGACTGCCAATTGCTTCCTATTTCTCCAAGTGATTAGATTCTCACATGGCGGTGTGCTTTAATTAGTAAGATATCTTATATTTGTGAGCGATCCTGCTTAATCAACATCTATAAATGTTTCTAAGCTGAGTATTTAGTTTATTTTGACTATGATTTCATTTCTCAGTGTCGCTTTGACGTATTGAAATGCTTTTAGATGTGTTCTTAGAATTATTGATAAATTGACTTAGAATACTTGCAACATAGGTTATGTTTGGCCTTGTGTGGGCAAGATAAAGAAGCTTACTGATCTCTTGTCAATTTTCGAGCAAAAATTATTTGAGTTTTTCATAGATTATTTACTTAAAATTCTTTTTATAGATGATATTTCATTTTCCTTATTTCTTCAAGATCTCCTCCTATCACAATCATGCCATTTAACTTCCCAAACTATGTTATTATGGGTTGTTTTAGCCTATATAGAGCTTTCTTCAATCTGCTTACATGATTAGTAGTTAAATCTTGATTAAAATATGGTGGAGGTTCCACATAATCTTCTTCACCAGTTTGTCATATAAGAATGCATTTTTTTTCTAACGATTTTAAGGGCTAATTGAGGTTTGCTGTAAGTGATAGAGGTATCCAAACAGTGTTTTAGCTTTGCTGCTGATACAAAGGTTTCTCCATAATCAATCCATCTGTTTCCATGGCTTCACTTGAAGACAATCTTGGCTATAAAATCTTTTTATTTTCAGTAAACGTGACATTCCAGGAGATGAATAATATTTTGAAACTAGAATGATAACACTTGAACTTTTGTTGAGTTGAGTACTAATGCTAGGAAAATGCATTTGGGAGCTATTCAATTAGAACCATCGAAATTAAATAAAGGCATGGAGGAAGATTAAGGAAGAAATCAAATAAAAACGAAGATCACTGAGCTTTGATTCAATGAGTTAGCAAGAGGTCTAGTAAGGGTCATCACCTATTTGAGTATATTATGTGTATTATACTTTCTATCAGTCAATCTCATTAGTTTACATTCATCTCGACCTTTTAATAAATACTCTTATCTTCTTTTTGCCTTATACTAGGAATCTTATTTTTGACTTTTAATTTCATTCTTGTTTCAAAGATAGATATTATATATATAGGTTTGGTTCCTGAAAGATGCACTCCTTTAGCTCTAAGTAATTGCCTCTTCAATCTTAAATTATTGACTCTTTTGAGCTGCCATTTACTTGGCCTTAGGATATAACATTGTGTTTAGTTGTAATCAACATCTTTGAAACCTGTGTAAATGTTTACTATTTCTTTAATTACTTGATTCATTGTTATAATAAGAGTTCTACCTCAAGATTCATGTAGCAAGTAGATCCTAATGAGACATTCTCTTCCGAATTTCGGAAGCATTACATTTAACCACTGAAGAGCATTGAAAACTCTTTTGGGTAAATATTAAAAACTATTTGTGGGTAAAATCCTTTGGGTTGGCGCTGACATTCTTTTTTTTAGTTCATTATGGCTGTGATCTCTTTTGAGCTAGAGACATCTTACAATCCTCAAGCTCTACCATTATTATGATTTTTCTCATTCATAATGAACATGAATTCAAAATTTATGCTCTTGCTTCGGGAATCATTATGATTTTTAAGGTATTTGAATTCTTGCAATTTTGAACGCTTGACAATTTTTTGTGAATGTATCATGCACGCTCTATGTTAGTGCAATGTTAAAAAAAAATAATAAAAATGTTAAAACTTGCAACAATAAGAATCATCATCATTAGCCTTATTCTAATTATTTGAGGTCATCTTTATGAATCCTAATTTTCCTGCTGTTTCTGTTGAGTGTGATAGGATGTGTTAAGCTTAATTCCACATAAATCTTTTTGTACCACTTTTCCTTCTTTTTCTTAATTATTTATCATTTAATTCAACCACATGTCTTATGTTGATATTTCATACTCTTTATTATGTTTATGTAAACCACCTAGGTCTATTCTCCACTACCTTGGTTGCGATATATTTTTCTTCAATTATCTTTATGATATCATTCCTCCATCCATTGTTGCTATTTTGGACATACATGCATCTTAACTTTCTCATTTCTGCTATTCTCAACTTGGTTATTTCGTGACTTCTTAACTACCCCACGTTTTGATTCATTTAATATTGTCAACTAATTCTGGTTTTAAACTTTACCTTTATATCTTCATGGTATCTTCTTTTAACATAAATCTGCCCCTAACCACCCGTCAAAGTTAGCAATAAGGCCATAGGAGAGTTTTTGTTCACATGCAACATGCAATTTTGATATTGTTGGTATCTTGTTTATGATGGGTGCCATAATCTTAATAAGATATTGGCTCCTACAACATCTTCCAGTACCTGCTTAATAGTTTCGCTGAGCAAGCTGATTGGTGCTGCAACAAATTTACTTTATTTGACACTTGATAATTCTAAAGTAGATAATGAATATTATGATTATAATCGGAGAATTTTTATCACATTAAGCATAATTTTTTCCATATTAGAACACATATTTTAGCCATAATGGTCCTTATCCAACTTGTTGTGAGGCTCTAAAATTGTTAGATGTGATGAAAAAACCTTGAAAATATGAACTAATCCTATGTTCATACCGACATATTGATAACTAATAAATTTAAAAAATTATTAATTTTGCTTTCTATATTCTTTTAAAACTAACATTTTTAAATTTACAACACAAGCTATGATCTGGTCAGAAGTAAATGCGAAACAATGAAGATGCTAAGTTTGGTAATGTTATGAAATGCATTAGATCTAATGGTTATATATTAAGAAGTGTGTATATTAGGAAGATTTATATTAATTAACCTAATTAGAGATCTAATTACTCAATCTTTTTATATTAGGAATTATGATATTAAATATTTTATTAGAGAATATTTAATTACAAAATCTTTTCTATATTAAAAAATATTCCTAATTTGTATGCTTTAATCCTTTCTTATTCATGGAAGTGTTTAGGGCTAATTTTTTGTGTGGAGTTGTGACCTTATTTCGGTCATTTTTTTCTTATTTCCCACTTGTTGGTAGTGGAATCTCCCCTCCCCATGGACATAGGCTGATTTGCACCGAACTGCGTAAATAAAAGTGTGTTTCATTGTTTGTTTGTTGTGTGATTTTGTTATCTACTTTGTTTTGCACAATAATTCGGTATCAAAATTAAATTGGTGTGATTCCAACAACAAGTGATTGTGAACCCGACATAGTCGCTGACATAAGCAGAGATTGGAGCAAGTTAGTATGAGATATGGTGGCACCATGGATAATTACATGTTGTCAGGTACTTTAATAGGCTACCACGATGATAAAAATGACACGATTTATCAAGTGGTTATGCATCTCGTCAAGATCAATGTGACGAGATTTGACGACAAAGACATTTGGCACGTGGCTATGCGAAGTGATAGATGCATCGTGCTCTTTAAATATGGAGAGTTTTTTATAGTGATGAATGCCGTGAAGTGATGTCAGAAAGAGATTGGTTGAAGATGAGCCGGAAATATCAAAATATGGGGTGATGATTGAGATTTCTGCAGGAAAATTATGGAGAATAAATATCTCAAGAAGAGCGTGGAGAATCGTCTCTATATGAAGCATCAACTCTATCGGTTTTATATGAGATGTGAAATTATATTGATAAACACTTAAATAATTTTATAAAGTTTTTGGTAGATCTGTTAAATATGGATGATGAGGTTAAAGATGAAGACAAGACATTTTTTTCTTTAAATTCGCTCTTGGAAGAGTGAAAATTTTTCGATGACACTTATTCATAGGAAGAAGGTTTTGGATTATGGTGAGGTGATTACGACATTGTAGAAGCATAACTTCTGTCGAAGAGACAAGGTGAACTAAGACACTTACACTCCAACATGACATATCTGAGAAGAAGAAGAATTAACAAAGATGGATGACAGCGGTGACACTTCTCAAAAGCTGGACAAATCTTGTTGGCGTAGTCTTAGAAAAAAATTAGTGTGCTTTCTGTTTAGAGACGTGTAATTGGAATTTCAAGGCCCACACATTTCTTGATGTTACTTTTAAGTCAAATACATTGCCTCAAAGAACTTATGAGCACTTCATGTAAACTGATAAGTTAGTCTGCACGTGCTTCAACTAATGCACTGAATGTTTAAATACTTTTTTTGGGAATGTTGTGTTGGCTGCATTTAAGCGGGCCACATTGTCTATTGGGCAAATTTGTAAGTCTCATTTTGGTTAGCCCAATTCTCCTCTTTTTAGGACCAGGATTAATAAGACTGAACCCCACTTTGGCTAATGTAAATACAAATTTAATTATTCAAACACCCTGATGATGACCGCGTTGAATGTAAATCTGAACCGAAGGGATTTATTTTTAAAATTTAAAACTTAAGTTAAGTGATACCATTTGCATGAGCTTCTTCTTCTATTTCACGAATTTTTTTTCATTTTCAGCAGCATATAAGAATTAAGCTTCAGATCCTTCAACTATTTGAAGTAATTTTTATAAGTAATATGGATTATGCAGGATTGTCCCGCTCCACTTCTGAAGGTTGCTTGTTGAAACAATTTTCACAGTTTGGAGAAATAAGCAAAGGTACAGCTCTATATATATGTATATTCATACACATGCTTTAGTGACTACTTTATTAATTTAATTAACTTATATACTTGCCAACCTGATCAAAATTTTATTGGGGGTCTTACGTAAATACCACACAGTTGTCATGTATTTACATATTTAACACATCTAAACATTCATATTCACATGTATACCACTCAAATCTTTAACACATCTATACATTCATATTTACGTGTAACCACTCAAATCCTTAACATCACACCAAAAATACTACTATAGTTATCTTTTTATAAATGAAATATACTTTTTTGTGCTTAGATTTATAACAGCAGGGTGTTATGAGTGTAAGTATTAAATTTTGGGTATTAGATATGTAAATACATAAGAATTAAGTGATGTGTATGTAAATTTCCCAAATTTTATCCATGCTTCAGCTAATTTCATCGAATAACTTTGAAATCGCATAAAATAAAAAAGAAGGAAAATTTTTATTTGGATGTTTTGACCAAAAAGTGATTAGGACACACATCACAAAGCCCTTAGATCTGCTTTGAGATGAGTACAGTATTAATGATCAATTTATTACATTCTTCTCGATTAAAATTTTGTTCAGAGTATTGTGACTTCTTTTTTTTTTTTTTTCAAAAAATGTAAAAGTCACATATTTAATCTTTGTGATTGCAGTAAAAATTGTTACAAGCAGAGGAGCCAAGGAGTCATTGGGGATGGCATATGTATGGTTTGCTTGCACTGAATCAGCAGAGCTGGCTATTAAGGAGATGAATGGCAAGGTTTTTTTTTTTTTTAAAACCTTTTATATGTTTATATCCTCCTTTAAGATTTTAGTGAAGTTAATTTATTTTCACATCTATAACCATTTTTTGTATTGATATTTAACATATACAACCTCCTTGCAGTTTTTTGATGGCAGATTTATTGCAGTGACGATGTCCAGACCTGAAGCCCCAACAAAGCATGTAAAGTTCATGCCTTACAGGTTCTAAATGCAAATTTTAGCTATATTTGTGCTAAAATATGAAATGAAAGTGTTAGGAATTTGTTAGTTGATTATGAATTTGCAGCCATTAAGTTGAGATTTTTAATTAATTCTTCACCTATTTTAGCTAAAAAATTTTGGCATCCAAATTCAAGGAAAGTAATAGAAAGAAAAATAAACAAATTTGTCGTTGGAGTAATCGAGCAAGAACTAAGAGTGGTGTTGTGTAATTCAAATGCCTTTGATTGGATTGAGCGGCTATGAACAAGTAATGTGTCATCAATCGGAATGAATAAAGACATCCCAATGAAAGGACCCGGCCGAGCCATCGACTAGAGGCGAGTCAACCTAGAAGACGGATGGATCAATTTTGGACATAAATCGGGCGCCTACCCAAAATGATGGATGAACTAGAAAGCCAAGTAACGTCAACAAAGTTGGATGGGAAAAAGTGACCCAAAAACTGGCCGAGTTACGAGTCGGTTAACTTAGGTATCAGCTGGGAAGCATTTAGCCGGTAGAAGGGCGGAACACCGGGCAACTGCCGACCATAGGGCAAGGAGCCGATTGCTAAGGAGTCACCGAAATCAATAAAGGTGTGTCACTTCACAATATCTATTAGATCTCTTTATAAATATAGGAATGCTAAATAAAATGTGGCGATTAAAAAAATACCAACTTTCTTACACGCGCCCCCTATGCTCTATTCCTTTGTATAATTCATGGACAAATTGGGGTTAAAAGTTGTGTGTATTTGGTAGACATAATAGGTAAGACATCTAGAGTCCAGATTCGAGGCTCGTCTTGGACAACACACGGGTGGATCACAAATGCACTTTGCAATCCATCTAATATATATATATATATATATATATATATATATATATATTTTAAACAAAAAACAAGTATGCATTTTCAATAAGAAGTCGGCTACTATCACCCATCAGGGAAGTAACCAACCTGTCTGATGATGTTACCAAAATCGTTCGATGAAATTATATATTCAATCCAACAAACATGCATTCTTCCAAATTATATGTCGAATTTTAAATAGCAATGTGCTCTCTTTATTCTCCACCTTAGGTTAAAAATGGATTTTCAATATGTCATGCCCACAATCCTTTATTTGGTGCTTTTCACACATGACTTGATAGCTAGAAAATACACGTGTGTATTTTGGTTATGAAGTTGATGGCAGCCTCCCATCATTAGATACAACAGGTTGAGGCATTTACATACGTTCCCACACAATTCTCATGTATTTACATATTTCATACTAAAACGTTAATATTTACATACATAACCCTCCAATCTTTAACATTGTGTACATAAAAAATAAGCTTGTTTGAAATATTATGATTAAAATAATAATTACTTACTTGAAAAACTGGAAGAAGTTGATTAAAATTTCTAATTTTGAATTTTTAAAGAGAAGTTGAAGCAAGAGAAGTGTTATTTATCAAAACTTTAGTTTTACTTGAAAGAGAAGTGTAATTTAAAACAAATTTTTGAATTTTATGAAGTTGAAGCACGATTTATCAAAGCTGTAAAATTTAAGAGAGATTATTTACAATTTCTGCCCAATGGAATACCAAACAATTTGGGTGATTTATCTTATAGCAACCGGCAACACTCTAAAAAAACTCATTTTTCACAAACAGTTTGTGTTCGGTTCGTTAAGTAGTTTGTGTTCAGATCGTTTATTAAGAGTCTGTTTGGGGCAGCTGCAGCTTATCCAACTTTTGTTGATGGGCAGCTGATCAGGATAATATGTCTAGCTGTTTGGTTAGTTTATTCTGAGAACAGTTGATTCTGGATAAATGACCAATCTGCTCCTGTTCTGGATAAGCTGTTGAGATTCTGGAGAAATGACCAATCTGCACATGTTCGGGATAAACTGTTGAGCTGTTTAATTTGTGTGTTTTGTAAGCAGCTTATTTGTAAATTTTTTAGTTGAATTAATAATCTATTCTGGACAGCCCAATTCCTATGTATGTGCATATCTAACACCTCTACTTAACTTTTTTACATGCATAGCACCAAATTCTTTCATAACTCATAAAAATAGCACAATTTTAACTTTTTAAGAATGAAATAAACCTTTTCATGCATAGATAAGGTGACATTAATGTAAAAAATAAAGTTTGGGTGTTAGATATGTAAATACAAAGGAATTGAGTGGTATGCATATAAAATCTTCATTTAAAGTTCGGTTGGTCAATCAATTATATTTAAAGTTTCAAATTATTGATATATAAAAATCTTTATTGTTTTTGTGAAACATATATTCTCAATCCTTCCCAAATAATCGTCAAATTCATATGTTTTTCTATTAAATCATTTGCAAAGGCAACTTTCTCACCTCACAAAATCATAAGAGAATCTAATATAAATCACAACAAAGTAGCATACATTTGTTCATTTTCTCCCCAAATAAGCAAACTACTGCATCATCCACGAAAAATAATAACATCTTAAAGGAAAATGCTAACAAGAAAAAAGCAGAAAAAATGTAATGGCACAGTAAACCTATGCCTCCCTTGATAAAATAACAATGAAATTAAACACTAATTCATTCTAACACCAAAAAAAAAAAAAAAAAAAAAAAAAAAAAAAAAAAAAAAAAAAAAAAAAAAAAAAAAAAAAAAAAAAAAAAAGGGCGATAGAAGCCTTGGAAGAAACTTGGCTTAACAAAATCGTGAGCACAAACAACACTAAAACGGGAAACATTAAACCTATAAGGTATTTACCCACGTCCACTTTTGGAGTAAAGAGAGAGTACCTTGGGGGGTTTTGGAGTAGTGAGAGTCTGCAGAGGCTTCAGATTTAGGAGACAGAACAGTGCCCTTTGTCGGAATTCATATTACCTTAGAGGGAAGCAAACGAAGGAGTGCCGAAGGAAGAAGAAGCAGAAGCAAGGAGTGCCGATGAAGGAAGAAGCATAAGCAATGTCGAATCCGGGAAGAAGAATCGCGAACGAAGGAAGAATCTACGGCACTGAGAGCTTCCTTTATTCCGAATTGCGAACGAAGGAAGAAGAATCACGAACGAACGAAGAAGAAAACATTGCGGGAAGGGCAGCGAAGTAATTGAGGGATAAACGCGATAAGGAAACGCGGATCGCGGGTCTAGACCCGCGATCTACGTGTAATACAAAATAGGAAACAAAATTTTGATAAACACATTTCTAACGGGCGAAACAAACAGTGAGACCACGTTTTCAAAACGCCGCCGCAGTTATAAGCTGCCCCAAACAGGCCCCAAGTAAGCGAGTTGAGCATGAACAAATTTTTTATTCTCGAATCATAAATCAGTCGAACATGAAGAAATATTTGTTTGTTTGTGTTTGACTTATTTTAACTCAAAATATATAAATTATATATAAATTTAAACCATCATAGCGCAAAAAATAATACAAGTTTGAATCTCACATTTTAAATCTATTTTTCTAATTAATTCAACCGAGCCAATCTCGAGTCAAATATGCATTGTAAATTGAGTCAAATAAGAACACAATTCACAAGCAATTTCAAACTAGAGCAAATTCCAAACACGAATAGAGTTTAAAACCTGAAGTAACAAAATAGAAAACTCGCCTCAAGAAAAAATGGAGAATGGAAGAAAGCTGGGGTGAAATTATTCCAGAAATTCATAAAAATAAAATTTCAACCTGATCTTGTGAACAATTGAAACTAATAGTATCTTCAATTCATCATCTACGATTTCTCAACGCAAGAAAACCAAATCGCCTCGCGCCTCCCCTGCTCCACGGAAAAAGTTTGCGTGCGATAGATGTACGCAGCGCTGCGTACGATATTGAGGTTATACCGAGGGTACAAGGGGGTTACATTCGCGGTATAATCTCTTGTAACTTCTCTGTAACATCCTGTAACCTAAAATAAGTTTCGCGCTTCTGTTATCATATATTAAGAATTTATTAGTATGTTATAGATAAGTTACAGAAGGTTACAGGGAGGTTACAAGGGGTTATACCTCGGATATAACTCCCTTCTACCCTCGCTATAACCTCACTCAATATCGTACGCAGCTCGTCTATTGCACGCAAATTTTTTCCTGCTCCACAAGGCAAAATCGTACAGCATAATCCCCATGATCGCCAACCCTAACCACCGCTTCCAATGCACAATTCTCATCCCTTGAATAACCGGAACCAAAACCCTAAACCCCAAATCCCTCGCCGCCGATCTCCCGCCCGCCCCACCGCCTTGCGATGTTAGGGCAAGGGACAGTAGCAGATCGGCAATCATCTTCGATCTGTTCCTCCCGCTACCCGGCCGCCTCCACCACCGTCCGCCTGAACCCCCGGTCGAGATCGGCGGGCGTCCGCCCCCGCCAAG